GACTTTTCAGGTATGATTAAATTAAGGGTCTAGAAAGGGGAAATTAGCCTCAATTATCTAGGTTGGCTCAATGTAATTACAAAGGTCCTTATAAGATGAAGAGGGAGGCAGGAGAGCTAGAGTAAAAGATGACAACATAAGCAGAGTGATTAGGGACTGCAAGCCAAGGAAAGTGTGCAACCTCTAGAAGCTAGAAAAGGCAAGGAAATGGATTGTCCCCAAAGCTTCCAGAAAGAATGTAGTCCCACCAACACCTTAATTTTAGCCCAATGAGATCTAAATGGTGATAGAAAAAATATTTCTCTTATACTGCAGGATGAGAATTGTCAGCTAAGATCCAACTGCAAAAATTATTATTGATTAGGAGGCAAAAGACAGAAATAGTACTACCTGCTGACAGATGACAAGTGGAATGTGAATTACTGAAAGCAACAAAAACCACATTTCTACTTGAACAGTAAACTTGCTATGAAGAGCTTTGAGATATAAATAGATCTGTTCCCTGTAGTATTATTCACACAAATATATATTTTCAAAATGGAATTGCTAACTTTTATAGTTGTATCTATACAATTATTCATCAAACTTTCTAAAAACCTTAAATTCTAAATGAGTAATTCTTTTATGATTAAGAATGTAATGTTACTGATCACATATCAGTATACCAGTATTTTGAGTTTTTTCTCTCTAAAGAATATTTTTATTTATTAATTCAACTGGCTTCATTGATTGGCTATCACAGGATACAAAAATGCCTAAGACAGTCACTGTCATCAAAAAGCCTAGTATGGCCTGGGAGATTAATATAATAAAGCAGAGTAACAATACAATGAAGTAAACGTAGTCATGTAAAACTGCACAGGTTACATAGAGAGTAGTTAAGTCATCACACTTAATGTTAGGGATTAGCCAAGGGAAAGAGGGGAGGCTGTCCAGGAAATTTCTGTAGCATAATAAATAACATTTTTGGTAAATAAATGCTTGATTTTAATAGAAGTTCTTCAATATATGATAACACTGTATTTTATCAAGTCCTATGTGAGGTCAATAAATTCTAAACATATTCTGGCTAACTGCCCTTGAGATGCAAAATGGTGTATAAATGCCATTAGCATTTCTTCAAGTAGTCACTCTAAATAACTATAAACTAGTATATTAAACATTAGAAACATCTGCATTCTCTACCCACTTCATTAATTTACATGATGAATAGTTCCTTTTTTTCCCTCTAAATTTATATACATTCTTCCTGAAATAAATATATTTTTGTAGTCATCTACTTCACTGGTATAAACATATCTAGTTGTCATGGGAATTACTGGCTCAGATTTGAGCAAAAATAAGAAAATCTGTGTGGAAAGAAAACTGTTCACTTTCTATTTTAATTATTAAGGAAATAATTTAGGAGAGTGTTTGTACCTTTAACATTATATCTTGTTTATTATTTTTAAATAAATACCAAAATCTGTCATCACTGACAAAAGCAGGCCTTTAATCACGATATGCTCTTCCAATTCTAAGTTTATACTGACCCCTATAGGGGTAATTATGTTCTAACTTATTTCTGGCTTATTCTTACAGAACATATGGTGAACAATATTTAAACATGTTTACATTTAGGATTTAATTATTTTAGGAGTAAAGCCATAAAACACTTTTCTTAGGCCCTTTCTCTCCTTTTACCATACAACATAAACTATGCACAAATTTCAGCCATCCTTTAGGACAATTTATTTTTTAGACCCAAGATGTTTTAGACCTCATTAGTTTCAATGTTGGTTTACTGAGGACAGGGGAACTAAACAGCATAATTTCTAATTAACAGCAAAAACATGCCCTGATTATTTTCCTCAAAATCTGTTATATTTTCACACTTTTCATAGATACAATCCATTAAAAATTAACTTTAAAGTCTATGCAGAGATGTGAATAAAGGCAGAAAGGACTTGGGACCAAAGATTTGGGCTAACCTTGGTGGAGGGACACTGATTCTAGGTCAAACTGAGCACTTTTAATGTGATGTGCAAGATTCTAAACCATTTCCTTATGAATATGAATGAAGAATTACAGAAGGGTGAAAAGCTACAGACTACTCACCTCTGGACACTGGCATCTCCAGAACAAGCAATAGAGAAGGAATTGTCTGGACAATACAGAAAGGAGCATGACAGTAGCAACCAGCCAAGGGATCAGTGAAGATTGTTCTATGAGTAATCACTGACAATCTGCAACAGGAACTCTATACATACCATATGCTTTCTAAAATTGTCAATCTTGCATGAGATACGGAACTGATTTCTTCCCAGTCTATGCTTTGCAGAGTTTGTACAAAAGGAAAAAATTTAACCTAAGAAAAGTTTTAACAGTGCTAATTTTCAAGGAGGAGAAAGTAGAGTAGCTCAGGAGTAAGTGTGGGGTAGCTCCAAAAGGTACAATGCCATGAAATCCTGAATGTTGGTACCATATTAATTTATAATAATAAACTCTTAATAAGGACTAGAGCATTATTATGAGGTATTTGTAACCAACTTTGAACAAGGTTTTCATTATTTACACTTGTTCTGGAGAAAAACATCAGTTGTGGACTATGGTATATGAATTCTGTAAGAAGCCCAGGCTACTCTTGTTTTTCTTAAACTTGTACTTTACTATAATCTGAGAACTGAGGATAATAGGAATGATCTCCTTACTGATCAGATAGTAATTTCCAGAGTATTTTAAAGCAGATGTGTTTTGATCCTTCTTGAAGCCAGGCATAGATTGCCATAGAAAATATAAGGCTAAATATTTTCTTGTACACTGTAGGTATAGTTTTATTGCCATATGGATCAATTTTGAAACCAAAATTATTATTTGGGGGTAGATATTCTCATAATACTATGAGAGTGATAGTCAAGTTTATTTTCTTTTTCTTTTTTTTTTTTTTTTTATCATCCTCACCCGAGGATATTTTTCCATTTTTTGTACAGATAGAGTGGGAGGGAGAGAGAGGAAGGGAGAGAGAGAGAGAAACATCGACGTGAAGGGACACATCGAGTGGCTGCCACCCGCACGACCAACCAGGGCCGGGGACAAACTGCAACCGAAGTACGTGCCCTTAGTGGGAACCGAACCCGGGTCTCTCCAGACCGCAGGCCAACGCTCTAACCGCTGAGCCAAACTGGCCAGGGCAGTCAGGTTTATTTTCAAAGTAACTTATTTAGTTTCATAAGGTTACATTTTGTGGCCTAGATCATCCTGGGGATTATATTGGCCTAAATTTACTTTTATGAATGCATTATTGAATTTTTTACTATTACCAGAATAAGCTTGATAACCTTGCATTACATTTTTCTCAGGCTAAAATGACCATAATCATGCTCTACTTGGGAGCTTCGATTCATGTTTATCCATATATGAGAATGAACCCAAAGTGTTTTCTGAGGAAAACTGTAAGCCTGAGCATCGTACTCCAGAATTCTCTCAGCCCACTCTGTGCATGTCTATTCTGACTTGTGTCTTGGTCGTATTCATTAATTTCCCTAAGGTAATATTAATTTTACATTCCATTTATATTTATTTGTTATACTAGTTTACTGTTTAGTTTGCCACTGAATCCTTAGCATCTGAGGCCTAAGCACTAAACAATCAGAAGGTAATTTTCTTTTGCAATAGATGCTGTGAAATTAAAAATATATTGTAGTAATTTATAAGTATTGAACATGCAATCTTTTTTTTAAACATCTTAAAGAACAAGAAATTAAAATGTGGGTCAATAGCAAACAGAAGTGATTCACCCAAATGAATAGAAATATTATAACAAAACTTGTCCCAGGAACGGGGTGTGGGGGGGTGTGGGGGTGGCAAAAGTGGAAAAAAATGAGAAATAAGTGAAGGTATGAGGGATGAACATGGAGAAAGAGAAAGCAAAGAAAGGTTTCTCTAACTGAGGAGGGCAAAACAACAACCACGACCTCAGTGCTACCCTCTACTAATACTCAAATAAAAAGTAAAGGTGTGTTAAAACAATAATGAGGTATCACCTCGCACCTGTCAGAATGGCCACCATCAACAAACAAGTGTTGGCTAGGGTGTAGAGAAAAGGGCACTCTAATACACTGCTAGTGGGAATGCAGACTGGTGCAGCCACTATGGAAAACAATATGGTGTTACCTCAAAAAATTAAAAATTGAACTGCCATTCAACCCAGTGATCCCACTTCTAGGAATATACCCTACGAAGCCTGAAACACCAATCAGAAAGAATATATGTACCTCCTATTTGTAGCAGCGCTGTTTACAATAGCTAAGATCTGGAAACAGCCCAAGTGTCCATCAGTAGACGAATGGATAAAAAAGCAGTGGTACATATACACAATGGAGTACTATGCAGCTGTAAGAAAGATCTCTTATCCTTTGAGACTGCATGGAGGGACCTGGAAAGTATTATCCTAAGCGAAACAAGCCAAACAGAGAAAGGCAAGTATCATATGATCTCACTTATTTGTGGAATATAATGAACATAACAATCTGAGGAATGGGGTAGTCCCAGAGATGTGGAAGTGGGGTACAGACTGACAATCCTCAGAAGGGGGGTGGTGTGGGAGAGATAAACCATAGAACTTAGATGTATGACCAATGAACATGGACAACAAAGCTGGGAACCGGGCGGGGAGGGAGGGGGAGGGGGAATCAGTGTGTGGGGGGAAACAACTGTAACAAAAATAAATTAATAAAAAAGAAAAAGAAAAAAGTAAAGGTGTGTTTTTCTCACTTCGTTTTCTTCTCTTGGCAAACTACTGTCAGCCCTGCATTAGCCAGACGCTGTGGACCCGCAACATTAGAACATTTCCCTTGGAAGGGATTACCGGGGGTGGGGGTGTGTGTGGGTGCGTGCGCGTGTGTTTCCACAGTTGCACATGCGCCGTCTCGGCGCGTCGCTACTCCCCGTCCCACCGCACCCAGGCCGCAGAGGACGTGACGCAAGGCTGAGGGGCGGGCGAGGCTCTGCGCCGGAAGTGGCCTGTAGATCGTAAATAAGCCAGAAAAGGCAGTAGAGGCGCTGTCTCCATTTTGGTAGCGTTTGCTGCTTCTGCGACGTTTTGGAGATGGGGAGCGTCTTGGGGCTGTGCTCCATGGCGAGCTGGGTAAGGTGGTGTAGGACAGCTTTCGGGATGCTAGCGTGGGAGGCGGAAGAGAAAGGGACTTGGGTGGGCTGGGCGAAGACCGGCGGGAACGTGGCACCCCACCCAACAGGGAGTGCTTCGGTCCCCATTTTCTCCCTCTCTCCCTCTGTCTTTCCCTTTCACTCTCCCTTTCTCTCTCTCCCTCCCTCGCCCCCCCTCCCCCTCCGGGATTCAGCTTCGGGGCTGAGAGCTGACCGGGTGGCCTGGGGAACCGGAGATGGAAAGATGACTCCAATGGGAACCGGAGATGGAAAGATGGAAAGGCGAAGAAGGCAGATAGTCTCTTGCCCCACCCGTCGTTCTTCAAAGCATCTCCCATTCTTTCAGGCCCCCTTTCGTTGTTGCTTTTTCCTGTCGGCCTGAGCCATTTATACAAAGGTCTTAGGCCCTTACCTTCTAGGGAGTGTTCCATCTTTTCTCTTCGCGGCGACCTCAGACTGCAGCACTGTCGTCCCTGGAGGGTCGTCGGTTCTTTGTTCTGCCGCTCAGACTATATTAAGTGCCGGTTATTTGGGACAACCTGACAGTAATATTGATGTAGTAATACGTAGTAATATCGTTTTGAAATAAATAGTCCTATCCTGTGACTAGGTCCTCGACATGGTATGAAGAAATTACTGTACAGTACTTCCAAGTAATTTATGTATCTGGAAAAGCCGATCAGTTCTGCCGTATTAAGTATCTTGTGTCTTTCGACATAGAGTAATCTTATGTAATCTGAAATTTCATGTTTAATTATTCGTGCTTTGCGTTTTGATTAGAAAGCGTTGTTAGAGGGAAACCATTTTTCTTTTAGAGGCAAGATTTTTTTATTTAGGTGGTACAGATAACCACACTCCTCCCAAATAAAAGTAGACAAAACATTGATATTACAGTTAATAAAAATATTTGTAATTTTGGGCGAGATAATTTGAATTCAAATCTTATTTCTTTATGAGTTCTAAATTCCTCTAACAGTTGCTTGTCTGACTTCCTAAATGACTTAATTATATACGTTAGCCAGCATTTTGATTATTTTATATACTTGTCCTTTTGTTCAAAAAGTTCTTGATACGGCTTGAATTATAAATGTTAAATTGTAATAAAATAATACGTGGAGGTGTTACTCAAACCCAGGTCATTCTAGCTGGGCAAGGAATCCTGGCTTTTTTGTTTTTGTTTTGTTTTTTTTTACTTGAAAAAAATTTTTTTGTTGTTGACAATATTATAGATGTTCTCCCTTTTTCCCCATTGACCCCCTCCTTCCGCTCCCCCCGCCCCCACAGCCTTCCCCAGCCTAGTGTCTGGGTCATTGGTTGTGCATATATGCATATAAGTTTCTTTGGTTTATCTCTTTGCACTCCTCCCCCCCCCCCCCCCATCCCTCTAAGATTTGTCATTTTGTTCCCTATTTACATGATTCCGGATCTCTTTTGGTTGACAGCTTATTTTGTACATTATGTTCCACAAGTAAGTGAGATCATGTGGTAATTGTTTTTCTCTGACTGGCTTGTTTCACTTAGCATAATACTCTCCAGGTCCCTCTATGTCCTCTCAAAGGGTAAGAGATCTCTCTTACCAGAGAAGTAGAGAATTTACTTGGGTCTGTTGATTTTTATACAAAAGAGGCATATTTAGTGTAATTAATAAATAAAATGTATTACAAAATAACAAATGATTATTATAAGATTATTTTCATTGGTTTTTTGAGGGGGATAATATTGCATAATTTGGTGAAATTAGGTTTTGTCCAGTTATCAAATGGGCATTTCTTTGTATAAAGGAAAGATTTAAAAGGAGGGATACAAGTTTTTCATTTTGTTCTCATCTCCAGATCAGTGATGAGCAAACTTTTTTACCTCAAGGACAAGTACAGTTTTTTTAAAAAGTTATATATATATGTTTTAAATCAGGAAGATAATATAGCTTTAGGGAATAATAGGGGAATAATGATATTCCTATATATGGTTTTAAAACTTAATTCTCCACCTTTATTGATTACAAAACTGTTATGGAATTGACACTGCCTTTCCAGGGTACATTGGAAAGATAGTAACAAAGAGGCAGTTTTCTTATCTTTTAGTAATTAGATCTCTGGCAGATACAGAGGCTAAGTGGCCAGAGTTATTCATGGTTGTAGATTATTGTGGCCAGACTAAGAATTGATTCTATAGTATGCAATTCAGACTATCTTTTTCCATTTTCTTCCTGGTGCCTTTATCATTTTATTCCTGAAGTATTCCTATATAGTGCAGTTCCACAGCAATTGAAGGGAAATTTACATTTTAATATATAAATTCATTTCTTCCACAGTCATAACAGTCAGTATTCTCATTTACTTGGAAATTTTGACAGATTTAAAATTCATTCAACATTTTTAAAGTATACATGTCATTAAAATCAGTTAAGTCAGAATTGAATAAACCTCATTCTTTGCTCAAGTTTCTTTAGGCTAATTTTTGTAAAAGTTTTTACAAATTAATAAAGCAATTGTAGAAAATTTCTGAACTATGGAAAAAGTGTAAAAGGAAAGTTATATGCAATACTGTGTAGAGATTGGAATGTTAATTTTTTTTACATTTCTTTTTTTTTTAATCCTCACCCGAGGACATTTTTCCATTCTTTATTCAGATAGAGCTGGAGGGAGAGAGAGGAAGAGAGAGCGAGAGCGAGAGAGAGAGAGAGAGAGAGAGAGAAACATCGATGTGAAAGGGACACATCGAGTGGCTGCCACCCGCACGACCCAACCACAGCCGGGGACAAACTGCAACCGAAGTACATGCCCCTAGCAGGAACCGAACCCGCACCTCTGTGGACCACAGGCCGGCGCTCTAACCCCTGAGCCAAACTGGCCAGGGCGGAATGTTAAATTTTTTAAATTTCATTTTGATTTCTTTCTTTTTTTCTGTTAAGGGTCCTAAAATTAGATGATTCATATACTTGATTCACGCATGACTCTTTGGTGATGACTTGAAACACCATCAAGCATCTTTGGACATCCTGCTTAATCCTATAACTACAACACTACCAGTAATTTATATCTGCTTAGTGTTTATATACACCCCAATTTCAACAATGGTGTCAATGAATAAAATTGGTTTTTTGGATGACTACATCTTGTATACAACACCTATCATTTTTTTGGGATCAAAAACATTTAATGTAGTTGAGTGATTAATAAGAAAGAGCTAGTGATTGATTACTGATTGCCTATTTTGTGCCAGCTTCTGCTAGATTGTTATTTTTTGGTACAGTGGTTTGTTTTGTAGACATGATTCTTAGTTGCTACAGATAGTCAAGCAATACAGGGTATACAGTTAAAATATCATATAAAGAAATCCCATAACCGATAATAATTCTTCTGTCTCAGTGCATGTATATAAAATGGATTAATGAATAGCCCTGGCCGGTTTGGCTCAGCGGTTAGAGCATCGGCCTGCGGTCCGGAGAGACCCGGGTTCGGTTCCCGCTAAGGGCACGTACCTCCGTTGCAGTTTGTCCCCGGCCCTGGTTGGTCGTGCCGGTGGCAGCCACTTGATGTGTCCCTTTCACATCGATGTTTCTCTCTCTCTCTCTCTCTTCCTCTCTCTCCCTCCCACTCTACCTGTGCAAAAAATGGAAAAATGTCCTCGGGTGAGGATAAAAAATAAATAAATAAGTAAAATGGATTAATGAATAGACAAAAGTACATTTTTGGGAATGGTAGCATGCTAAACATGTATTTTTAAACAAAGCATTAAATCTAATTTTTCCTAAATGTAACAAAAAGAAAAGTAAAGGAATTCTTAAATTGTAAGTAAACATTTCTTCACTAGGAGAGTTTCTTAAAAAGCCTTTTTAGGCAATGTTTTTATAGCAGTGGTTTTCATCTAGACACAGTTTTGCAGAAATATCTACAGACTTTTGTTGTTGTTAATTCTCATCCGAGGACATTTTTCTATTAGTTTTTTACATAAAGTGGTAGGGAGAGAGAGAGAAACCTTTGTATGAAAGAGACACATTGATTGGTTGCCTCCAGTGGAGTCGAGGATTGAACCTTTACCCAGGCACATGCCCTTGAGTGCGAATTGCACCTGTGACTCATTGGCCCACAGGCCAATGCTCTAACTGCTGAGCAAAACCAGCCAGGGCTCTGCAGATGTTTTTCATTTTCACAATTTGAGGTAAACAGTGCTAATATCATCTAGTGGGTGATAGAAGCCAGAGATACTGCCAAACTTTCTACAGTGCACAGGACAGCCCCTACTGCAACAAATAATTATTGCCCCAAAATACCACTGTTGCCAATTCTACTTTATCTTCTTCATTTGGCCAGAACAAAAAATGAAATGAAATCTGGGGTCTTTTTTTTTCCAAATGGGAGAACTTTTTAATTATTAATTAATTTATCTTTGTTACAGATGTTTCTCCTTTTTCCCCCATGGACACCCTCCTCCGGACCCTGGGGCTGCTGGGCCCCCTCCCCCATCCCCCCGAAATCTGGTGTCTTAAACTGCTCTTTAAAAAGACATTCAACCAATGCTGTTTTCAGCCTCACTTATAGAAGTATGTGTTGCCACCAATTCCCGATCTATTTGGAGATTCTGCTATAAATTTTATTGCTTTTTAATTTTTCCTTTGATGGCCTGTAACTCAACTTTCTTTTCCTGTTAAGTCAGTTATTATACTCCATCTTCCCGACTTAATCTCCTGTTCTTTTGGCCTTTAAGTTTATTCTTTTAAAAATCACTCTTTCATTCTACTGGTGTTTCTAAAGGGAACGTGAGTAAATTAATATATTCAGTCTGCCATCTTTAACTAGAATCCCTTTGTATTATTTTTCTACATGTAGCCATTCTGTTTTATAACCATAATTGCCACAGTTGCTTGTAGCATTAGCACACTAGGAAACTTATTTGGAAACACTGACTAGAGCTTAGTATTCTGTTTTAATAAGCCCTCCACTTTAGTGGATTCAAAGCTAAAAGCATGCCTTACTACCATGGGT